CTTATAAAAGTTAAGCAAACAAAAAACTTATGATGAAAGCAGTTTCATCTGCAACTCGATCTGAAAATCCATCTTCCATTCCTGGTTTTGCGTGACAATGTTGCGGAGCTACTTATATAATAAAATATAGGAGTAATATATTTATAGACATGGCTACTGTAGCCACATCCCATAAAAGCTAATCAATTTTAAAGATCAGGAAAATTCAAAAACAAACAAAATCGTCTATAACTCAAAATTTAAGAAAATGAAACTTCTCTTTGGGCTCTACCAAAAAAAACTCCTTGCTAAATTTTACTATAAAACACCTTCTTTTTATCCACCTTCTTTTTATCCATATAGTATCTTTACCTCACCATAACCCTAACAAACTAAAAAATGATTATTTAGTTACAGCTACAGTAGCATAAAATATATTGTTGATGCTAACTACTAGACTATCATTCAGGTCTCTTTATCTGTTTCTTCTTCTGCCTTCTCATTTTATGTAGAAGTCCACCAAATGAATTTCAAATCATCCTTTTTAATAAAAAATTCACTTTCTTCTTCTGTTTGCATTTGTTTTTCAGCATTTAAATATATAGGAAATGTTTCCCACTTTTTGCTTTCATCTCTCCATGCGTTTGTAATTGACTGATCATTATAAAAACATATATACTTCACTTCTAACTTATCCTTAAACTTGGAATGAAAATCATTATACCCCGAAGCTAAAGCAGAATTCTTAAGAACTGCATGGTAATAAATTAATTTACATTGAAAATTAAGAACAGCACGTTTCCCAAAATTGTCAGCATCCTCTAAAGCCACACTTTTAATGAGTTTAGAGATCATTATTGTTAACATCAGTCAAGTAATTTTTTTATATAGGAATAAACTAATACATTACTTAAACATACCTCATAAATGAAATAATGATATTTTGTAGTATAAGGACAATAACAATACTGCCAATCACATTGATTATGATGAGAGGCCAAAATCCCCAAGTATCTAGTGCAATTGAATCCCAATTATATGCAGCAAAAATAGCATTAAAGAGATTCGAAAATGAATTCTCTGGTTCTTTTCCAGTCATAATATAGGCAACTTCGCTATCGTTAGAAACCTCATATGTTGTCAACGATTGACTTAGTCCAATATATGAAGCATAACCAAGAAAAATAAACCTGATATAAAATATGTATTAGTACAAATCTAAAATTTGAGCACTTTCAACTATAATGAACTTACAATGCATGCCCCTGAAAAGGTTTGACGAATTAAATGTGAATATAATGTATAATATCGTGAATAATCATTGCTAATAATAATTATAATTAAAAATAGAATATTACCATTGCAATTATCACTAAAGCAAAAAAGAATAAAAATAACCGTATATTAGCAATAGAAATGCAGAGCACACTCATGAAGTATCCAAAACCTAGTAAGATGCAAATATGTATATATGTTATGCTTGAGAAATTTTAAATTGAAGACAAGATCTCCTGCAAAACAGATGACCATGTAACAGAGGTATTATTAACCAATTAATTATACTTTAGGTGGGTCACCTATACCGCAGGGGATCCCTATTTTAATATATGTACAATACCTAAAAAATTAATACGTAATACTAAAATCTAGAAAAATTATATTTAAAAAAACAAGATAAATGATAGTAGTAGAAACAAAAAATATATATACGCTATAGTAAGTAGCGAAAATAAAATCATCTACTTACGAGTTCATACCAAACAACTAAAATACTTATAAAAATAATAGATGATATAAACAAGCTACTTTCAGCGTATTTAAATCCATTCTCGAAAGTATAATGATGAATTAACATATAAACAGTAACACAAAATGGTAAAATGATTGCCAAAAGGTCCACCCAATTAAAAAAATCACTAAAATATTTCCATTTTCTATGACGCATTTGGTGATATTCAATAATAAGATGGTAATAAGTTATATAAAAAAAATATATAATGGTTACGAACACCAAAATATGTTGAAATTCACCGGTAACTTCAATGTGTGCGATGAACATCCAGGAAATAATCGAATAAGATAAAAAATGCATTAAAAAATTGAATGAAATTTGATGCCAACGTGATTTAGAAGAATCCCACATAAAATTTATGATGGCTTCCATGGATGGGTTACAGTAGAAAGGATCATTAAGGTTATCTTCAACTTTATTTATAACATGAAGAAAAGGGATATGGCACTCTTCCAGAGGTACGTAATTACCAGGATAAAATATAGACTTTAAAAAACTCATGTATTTGTTTTCTCTTTTTTCCTGTAATAGCTTATTTGTCGCGAAATAAATTAAAGGTACCATTTGAATATCAGGAATTTTAACACCACTATGTAAAATATCAAAGGATAATTGAATTAATACCAAAATAAAAAAATTGATAACATTAAGGATTTTTATTACCTGAGCATGTTTATTTTCAAATTGGAATCTTGTGGAATAAATTGTGTTACGGGTATAAAAACTTCTAAAGCACCATCGATGCTTGGTGGAATTTCAAGAAATTCAAAAAAGGGTATATCTAATTCCTTTTCACAAAAGCAACGCTTAAAGAATAATAATCGAATATAAGACCTATAAAATTCTACATGAAAAAAGATAAATGTTTGAGACAGTAATATGTAGATTAAATGAAAATATATAACTAACCATAATTTTTATCCTCTTTATTATACGCGTACATCTTTGGTATAATTTCGCTAACTGTAATCATCCATCCAATCTCTTTGACTGCTTTATTAGAATAATATTCTAAAAAATATCCCAGAAATACTGGGTCATCATCTAATGAAAATAATGATTAATAAATTAACATTTAACAAAGATGTTAATTAACACAAATTTAGATAAACCAACCTGAAAGCGATTTACCAATCACATTATCTTCACCTTCCCATGATTTATATTGCGGCATGTGGAGTGATTTCTCATGCAATAAACGTTCTTGATCTGGCGTTATGTCTTCCATTATGCCTTCTATATCTTGTGAAAGATTTTCCAATTTGGAGACTATATCATCAAGCATTTTAAAAAGGCGTTTTTTTTCGAGATCATCGTCATTATCGATATCTTTTTCTTCATTAAATAATATGTATTTTATAAGTTGATATTCCCTCGCTTCAATGAGTAAGTTTAACAAACCAAAGCGAATGTCTAACAGTCGCCAAACAATCGGATATAACTGAATAAATCTTATAATAATATTTCGTGTTTGTTCTACTATCTCTTTGAATTTTATATGTTGATCTTCATTGGATAATGATATGGCATATTCGGACTCTTTATATATCTGATATAAAAACTTAAGTGATTCACATGCCTCTTTTACAGCATAAACTAAATAATCATCATCAGCTTCCATTTCAATTGATTCAATTGATCCAGAATCTTTTGATTGAACTTCAAGTTTAAATTTTCTTATTCCATATTCAACTTTTTTAATATTTGTTCTATCATCACCCCTGTGTTTGCTTTTATCAATTACACTAATGAACTCTAGAGTTTTTTTTTCATCTTGATCATGCCAAACCTGAACTGTGTGACACCCAATTAAAAGCAGAACATTTTTATCGAGATAAGCCGAATATAATGGGTTTATTTTGGCTGTTTTTGA